CTCAAACACGGCCATACAGTTTTTACCCAAATCGGCGGTTCTCTTATTAACGAGAATACTCAACGGATGCATGCGTATTGGATACTTTCCAAAATCTTGGAAACGTGCAGTCATCATTACAATCCCAAAACCTGGCAAAGACCTTCGCCATCCTGGAAACTACCGCCCGATCTCACTCTTATCATCGCTGTCAAAAGTATTTGAAAAGGTCATCCTCACCAAACTCAATGCAGTAATAGGCCCCAAAATAAGACAAGAACAGTTCGCCTTCCGTAGCCATCACTCGACAACCCATCAACTGGTAGGCCTAATCGACCGTCTATCAGTAAACAAAAGCAACAAACAACGCACAGCAGCCATCTTCTTAGATATAGAAAAAGCGTTCGATCGAGTATGGCACTCGGGTCTGTTATACAAACTCCACCAACTAAACACTCCGGCCTACCTGTTAGCACTGGTTAAATCTTTCCTAGAAGACCGGAGCTTCATTGTACGGGTAGAAAATGAAATATCTAGCGCAAAACCTATACGAGCAGGCGTCCCACAAGGCTCCTGCCTCTCTCCGATTCTTTACTCCGCATACACAAATGACATACCACTGAACAGTAACGCCTCTCTCTCGCTTTTTGCTGACGATACCCTATTCACAACCACTAACCGAAACCCTTCAAGAGCAGCCATTCAGCTCCAAAAACAGATTGACTTAGCGATGGCCTGGTTCCAAAAGTGGAAACTGAAAGTCAACGCTCAAAAATCAGTGGCAGTCATGTTCAACCGCCCTAGAGGCTTTAATGATTTCAAACCCCAAATAAACGGACTAACTATAGAATGGTCTACCAGTTGCAAATACCTAGGGTTAACTATAGATCAAGACCTAAAATTTAAAAAACATATCAATATCATCACAAAGAGAGCAACAGCAATTAGAGGTATGCTATACCCGGTGCTAAACCACCGCAGTCCGATACCTATCAAAACTAAAATCACCTGCCTCCAACTATACATAGGCTCAGTTTTAACGTATGCCGGCCCCGCCTGGGCGCCATTACTGTCACGTTCGAACTGGAGGAAGGTTGAATCGGTCCAAAACATCGGTTTACGGACCATTACCGCTTCACCCTGGTTCGTAAACAATATCACCCTTCGCAAATCCACCCGCACAGTCACCATCGAAGACAAAATCAAGATAAACAGCAAAATAATGTTCCACAAAAATCTTACATCTCCCCACCCACACATCCGCGATCTAGGTCGCACAAGAGCTAACCCACTCCTATCGATAAACATAACTCGCCATCTTGATTGGGCACATTCATAATAACATATATCAATAAACCATAACAACCCCCGCCAGTCATAGGCTCACGCCTGACACTGGCATATAGGCCCAAAGGCCGTCCTACAAAGCAAAGCAAAAAGCGCGTAACTCATCATTAAGTCCACAGAGGTCCAATCGTTAACAAGTATATCGTAAATCATTCGCAATGGCTCCAGGAGGAAAATCGGCCGGTAAAGCGATGAAGAAATCGTCCGGAAAGGCTCAAAAGAACATCGCCAAGTCCGACAAAAAGCGCAAGCCCAAGAGGAAAGAATCGTACGCTATCTACATTTACAAAGTATTGAAGCAAGTGCATCCGGACACCGGTGTTTCATCAAAGGCCATGAGCATCATGAACAGCTTCGTCAACGACCTGTTCGAGCGCATCGCCGCCGAATCCAGTCGTCTGGCTCACTACAACAAACGTTCGACCATAACCAGCCGGGAAATTCAAACCGCCGTCCGTCTTTTGTTGCCAGGTGAATTGGCCAAACACGCGGTCAGTGAAGGAACTAAGGCTGTGACCAAATATACCAGCTCCAAATAAGTCTCCCGTTTACCCTAAAAACACAACCAAAACGGCCCTTTTCAGGGCCACCAATCAACCCAAAACACCGAATATAAATAATCCTTTCAAAATATTAGAATAGTTCATAGCCAATATACCAATTACCAGCACAGTTTGGTCTTGGTAGTTTGGGTTTCTCTCTTAACACCTCGCATACCGCCGTGTCAGACGAAAAATAATGATCAGGATACAAAAGGTATCCCTGGATTACTAATTAACTTCTAACTATATTAATATTAGGTTCACATACTTTGGTGTATGCTTACTATATTTTTTCACTTATAATTACTATTAAATATAAAATGTGTGACGAAATCAAAAACACTAATACATAGAAGCGGGTAAGTGGATGTCGCTCTTCTGTACAGTGGGTCACTGTATAATGGAAATGGATTGTATTAAATTTGAATTCAATGATATCATAATATCATTGTATACGAAAAACGATTCTGGGAGGAGACGGTTCGTCGGTCTGGATATTTTATATTGTTATTATAACCTGTATGTTGATTTAATATTATAAATTACAACATTTTTATTCGTTTCTATGATGAAGAACAAAGCGTTAGAAATTAAATTCCCATTTTTAGCGGTTTTTTGTAATATTTTGTCGGTGGTTTTTCCCGTGATCTTGATCCAATTTGCTCAAATATAAAATACCAACTATATGTATATTGAAATCAAAGCACTCGTTCTGGTAGACATTTTGTATACATAATAAAAAAAAAAATAAACACCACTGTAAAACCACTAGCTTCCTCGTTCCGCTAAGAATCTAAAATAATAGTATTAGGTATTATGCTTTAAATGAAAAAGATTATTCGAGGATACTTGATCCTTTGAAAGTACGGTATATAACATTATATTTTTTACACACAATAATATAATATTATGCAATGTGTTCGGACCAAGTTAACTAAACACACTAATAGTAAAATAAATAACTTTAATAGCAATGGCATTTTAAAATATACTCACCACTTAGTTATAATACAATATTATGCTGACGGATCGTCTTTGCTTGGAATAAACTATCGTTTTCGTTGACGATTACTTTATATGATTGATTTAACATTTTTAACATTACAGTGATCCACTTTTCACCAACTGTGCAGTCGAACGGAACTCACTTACCCACATTTGTTTACTTATTAGTTGTTAGTTAATTGAACAATACTTTGATGCCTACATAACACTGCGGTTTCTCTTAATACACGTCTATATCATATAAAAAACTACAGACGACACGTGTGATTGAAATTATTATTCGTTATTGTATCCCATGCTGCGTGATGAAATGATCATGTTTCCGAAATTATATTTATTCTACACATAACGATGTAAAAACTGTCTACGTCATTCTACATTGTCTAAAATACTTTAAAAGCTTATATTTTATTGGGACTTATAAAAAAAGTATGAAAGTAGGCAAAATACTATAGGTACCAGTTATTAAAAATTTTAAAACATGTTTAAATTAAAACGTTATCGACTACGACTTTGAAGCATATCATTTTGGATAAGACCAGCTATAAATTAGATCGCCTGCTGTAAATAATACTTTGAATTATTTACCTACAGTCTATACCTACAGTGCATATTGTATTTTATTAATTAATATTATGTCATGGTGTTATGTTTCGATTCGGAGTTAACTACTAATCCATAATCGTGTCTACAACATTAATAAAAAAATTTTATAAATCATTTTTAATTTGCGTGGCTTTCAAGATGGCGTACAACATCGTAATGAATCAGCAACGGAACGATTGATGATGTAAAAATATGTTATTTTTATTCATTTAAAATTGAGTTTCCCCCAAAATCCTATAACGACTAATGTAGATTTATTAGTAATGTCTGCACCGTTAAAATTGCAGCGATAGAAACGTCGGTGACGCCGCACAGCAGCGGAGACCTATAACGGTCATTTTCGAAAAGCCACTGTTCATCGGAAAATCGGTAGATTGGAAATCTGCGAACGCTATGGTCTCGGGAAACTCGTGAAGAAATCGTCCAAAATGTGTTTGTCGATTTTCGACTGGTTTCTGCCGTACGGTAGAACTTCGAACGTGGTCTACGAAAACCCGGTCGGAAGTGCGGAAATAACGACCTGTGGTGGTTTTCTGGTACTGGCCACCGATACATCGATCACCGGCGATTGTTAAGAATTTAGTTGGCTTTAGGGAAAGTTCAAACCCAGGTCTGTACAACCATTTCCCGTTGAGTTATTGCGTACAATGATTGTACAACCGTAGCCTGGAGGACAACGGGAATCACACTGGTTTACTAGTCGGTACGGTTCACAGCATATGGTTAAAAATTTTAGAGAAATTCTCGTTACACAAAACTTGAACATCAAACTCGAAGTAAACAACATCGAAATCTCTTGGTCAAATTACGTGAAATATCTCGGAGTTACAAGCTCAACTTCTCCAATCATGCTGAAACGATTGTCAAAAAAGCAACCACAGTCCACAATACGAGGATCCCTCTACCCAATGCTTAACAAAAATGCCAGCAATCCAGCATCCCCAGCTAGGACGAGACTAAACCTTTTTAAAATGTACGTACAACCAATTGTAACTTATGCCGGTGCATCATGGTCACCATTCCTCTGCAGATCCTCCTGGAAGAAAATTGAAGCTGTCCAAAATATATAGGTATAAGAACCATCCTGGGTTCAACCAACCATAGTGCGAAACTCGGTTCTCCTAAGCACAGCTGGTTTTGACACTGTCATGGGACACATCGGCGCCAGCTATCCTGAGGGAAACTTCGGATGAAACCAGCTACTAGATGGTTCGATTAGTCTTTCGCCCCTATGCCCAGCTCAGACGATCGATTTGCACGTCAGAATCGCTGTGGACCTCCATCATGGTTTCCCCTGACTTCATCCTTGCCAGGCATAGTTCACCAGCGAACAGTAAAATCAACCATAGTTTTAAACATTTACTTTTAACAATTTCATCATCGACAATGACCAGATACCGCCGTTGCAACTCCGGCTCCTGTAGCCGCATCGCAGCCAAGAAGTCTCGTGCGAAGAAAAAGTTGGTGGCTTCTAAAGTCAAGAAGACGACCGTTGTTGCGTTGCATCCGACCACCGCTGTGATGGTCACCTCGGCTATCAAAGAGAAGAAGGGTTCGTCGTTGCCAGCCATTAAAAAATACTTGGCCGCCAAGTTGGCGTCCTTCATCAGGAAGTTTTTGAAAGCAGCCGTCACCAACGGTACCGGCGCTTCCGGACGCTTCAAGTTGCCCGTGGCCGAGGTCAAGCCGAAAAAGAAGAAATCGATCGTCAAAAAAGTCGTTAAAGCCGCCGGAACACCGAAGAAAAAGAAAATCGCAGCCGCCAAGAAACCCAAGGCGGGTGAACCGGCAGCCAAAACAGCGAAAAAGGCTGTTGCAACCAAACCCTCCAAGGCGACCACGCCGAAAAAGGCCGCCCCGGTCAAAGCGCAAAAAACCCAAATCGAAGACGACTCCAATCAAGAAAGCCGCTGCACCCAAAAAGAAGTAAAATAATAAAATAAAAACACTTTCCATATTTAAAACGGTCCTTTTCAGGACCACCAATTTATATAGCACAGGTCTCACTCACTCTCTTACCGACAACTTGTCATATTCTTTCTGAGACCTAGTAAGTACTATAGACACGGCTAAAGTCCAGCGTCATATCTGTGGAAAATTCTCATTTTTTAAATGTTTTCTACCTCCATACAGTATGATACCAAAATAATATGTCATCGGAATAATTTGGTAACCACAACTACTTTTATTTGTAAGTCCTTAAAAAGTCATTAATATCTCAAATGTAGCAATTAAATTGAACATTTATACTCTCAATAATGTCATCAATAGCTGATATGAAATAACACTGACGGTTAAATCTATGAATCAAATTAAATCAAATTTCTTTACGAAAATTATTTAATAACAATTTTATATTTATACATTATGAACAAACGGAAAAGTAATTGTTATTCTCAAAATAAGGTCTTCAATACTAGAATATTGATCTAAGTGGTTTTTAATGAAAAACAAATCCCTGGTCCCCTTCACCCTACACGTGGGTAAAGTAGACAACTTTTAAGAAAATAAAAGTAAAAAAAATTCATATATTTAACATTATCATTATGTCATTATTATGTGTTTCTGCCGATGTGCGTTATTGATTAATAAACCAGACGTTCCTTGTCAATGCGTGTGTCCGGTACCTTCTCTGTCATAAGTAAATACGTAACAGGTAGTTGTATAATATTATATTCCATGTTTCAATCGTTTTGATCAAATTAGGTTTAAAGGTAAATTAATTTATATACCTATAGAAATATACATTTTCTTCAGGCGATTCAACTAATTAAGTACCTAACGAAATTCTTAACATGGATGGTACTTATACAGGGTGATTCTTTTATCATTGAACACTCATTATTTCAAAAAGTATTAATGTTTAAGAAAATATTTTTTTACATATCAAATTAAAATTACATGTTGTCATTCAAAAAAGTAAAAAACTTAAAAAATTAAAAGGATAAAAAATATTTAAAAATATAATTTTTTAATAAAAATATTGTTTTTTAACAACTTGAAACTATGTAAAAAAATATTTTCTTAAACATTAATACTTTTTGAAATAATGAGTGTTCAATGATAAAAATATCACCCTGTATTATTTCGAATAAACATTGTAGTTATGACATCACCTTTTTCATTACATCTATATTCTCAATGTTGGACGATAGGCACATATTTATTTGATTGAAATTTTACTCAAGTTCCAGAAACAAGTATAAAAAACAATTACATGCATAGTTTGTATGTGCTGTAATCATAACATTTATAACTTTTTAATGTCTTGAACTTATACTGCACATTTATTCATACATAGGTACACCGACATGTAAACATTTAAAAACTTTACCTAACCATTGATCTTCTCAACAAATTTGCATACATGGAACCTTACCATTCATTTTTAATAATTTAAATTAGTCATATTTAGTAACATAATAAATATTATAGGTAAATAAGTATACATATTATACTACCCCTGACATCAACAATATAGGTACCTAATAATAAATTGTCTAAATTGTCAAGTATGTGTGTCAGTGTATATTAGGCATAGATTGGACCCATGGCGTCATGACGTTATTTATACATAATAATAATATATAAGTTCAAGATTGTCTAGCAAGTATGTAGAATACCATTGAGAGGCATTGTGTTGTACCTAATGAATTTGAGCATTACAATATTAGTTTTGTCAACAATTAGTATTTAGTTAATTAATATGTTATCATATGTTCAAGCTTAAATATAATATATAATTTGTAAATTATATACATTTCAAGACTTATTTTACAAACATTTGTTATTTAGTTCTAACAAACTTACTTCGAAAAATTGTATATCAATCTAACAATTTGAAATTTCAATCAACCCATTTTAAGTAATAATAATTAAGTTAATATTTTAGACTCATGATCATACATTTAGTTAGGTACATATGAAAAATTATGTAAATATTATATTTTTCAGTCGACAACGATTCTCATTTAAATCTAATTTACCAGACATATCTTTTATTGATGGCTCGCTCATTATTATACATATTATACTGATAATTACTAAATGACAATTGTAAAATTAAAATAAAATTTCATGTTTGAGGCTTTGATGATGTTATAATAAATTATGTAAGCCATATAATCCATGCAGTATAGGTTTATTGTCTCCTACTAGTTTTAGTACTCCAATCAAAGAAGAAAAAGAAATGTAGATTTGATAAAACAAAAGTTTAAAGAAAAACAGAGCATAAAACATAATATTATGTACATGCAAATTAAGCAATTGAGATTAAAATTGAAATCTTATGATCAGCTCATTATGGAATAGGTACTTTGAGAAATAAAAACCTCACATGTGAAAACGTTACAGGTCTGTTCTATATTAAGTTTCAAGCATGACCAAATAAGCACCCACTACGTTTGTGTAATTTAATATTCAATATAATATATAAATTTATAATACTAACAGTATGTCGGTGTGCTGAGTATATCATAGACTTTAGTATAAATAGTATAATGTAGTAGTAAGTTGATCCTAGACTAGTATATTAGACTGCATAACGTATATAATTAATGTGTATCTAGAAATAATTGTTTATACCTACTTAGAGTAAATTCTCTATTCAAGCTCATCCATGTTTATAAATACATATGTGGTTTAGTTGATAGCTTGCGGAAGAAGTTTAGTTGACATTATAAAAAAAAAACTGAGTGGTAAGAAAGTGAGTAATTTTTACCAGCATTTTAGCTGTTTGAGTAAACAGTAACTGGAAGTTGTCACTTGGTCATTTCTCGATAAAAAGGTTGAGGAGTTTGAGGTTGGGAGTGAGCGTGCTAATCTTTTGTCAATATGTTTAGAGTTAGAAGTAGTTAGAACTCAATTACATTTGACGGAAAATAAAACCAGAAGTGTTTAGACGTAATTCTGTATTCCAAACAGATGCATTGAATAATCATATAAAAATCAATTATTGTTTATGAATTATTAAAATTTCCAATTTACACTTATGTAAATTTAGGATTAAAACATAGCGCAAATCAACAACAACAAAATAGAGTAGGAGTGAGAAAGAAACTTGCAAAATAAAATTCTATTTAGAAATGAATAGGTAGGTAGGAAAATATTTTTATTATAAGTAGTACCTACCCAGACTAATTCTATCTAATCGTGTTGTGTGTTATAATTATATTATTATACTCAATATTTTATTGTATTCATTATAATAAAATTATAATTATAATTTGTGTTATAATTTTATATACATTGGGAGTACCTATACAATAGAGATTGTACAGAGTGGTAAACCTGACATCAAATTGTGTTGCATCACTGTGTTATGTCTGCCCGCGCCCCTGATGCATTTAATAAAAATCTGGTACAAGTTAAAAAATTGCATCTTGAAGCTAAAATGAACAATTTAAACTTAAAAATACAGATAAAGCCGTATTTAAATATAATCGAGCATTAGAACTACTGCATATAGCTGGATGCAAAAGTGACAATGAAGAAATAGAAATGATGAAATATTTGAATAAGACAGATACAATACAGATACAGATTTAAGCGTGTGCTATTTAAAACAATGTGCGTTTAATAAAGTATGTCGTATAGGCATAGAGGCATTGAAATATTCAGAGATTTTCCAAACGCTCAGCAAAATTATTTTTCAACTGGGGTAAAGCATTACGCCTATTAAAAGATTTTACAGAAGCGAAGAAAAAGCTTGACATGGCATTGAAACATGAACCTCAAAATGAAACAATACTTTATGAGATTCATAAATTAAAAAGAATTTCATCTTAACGTCGAATCAATTACATTAAAAGATGACAACAATGCTGATGAAAATAAACGTTTGGCTCCAGAATTTTGGGACGTATTCAATAAACATTTAACCGAGTTTTATACTGGTAATGATGATGTATTGACAGTTATGTTGAACAAAAACCCTGATGACATTGAGGTAATCAAAAACAATGCAAGTGCTTATGACCTCCAAGTTCAAGTAATCACAAAAGCTGGTGTTCCAACAAATTGTATTGCGATCAAAAAATAACTCATAGTTAAAATAAAACAAGTTAAGAATGTTACATTTTATATTCATATTTAAGTTTCTGTTACTTAATTTCTAAATTGAACTGTTAAAGTATGTTAATGTTTCATTTGATTTCAACTAAGAATTTTGAATTTATAAACTAGTTAAACTATATTTAAAACTTTAAAGCAATAAATCTAAATTATTTGGTTAATTTTGAATAATTCAAGTCAAATACCTGGTAAATAGTATAAGTACCGGGCTAATGTGCAACATCAACAATGAAAACTTTTATGCACATTTTAATCAATCCTCCTTACACATAAAAAGTTGTCAAAATTGTAATGTGTGTTGTGAAAGCATCATCTGTCATGTAGTTAGATTGTTGTGAAGATATCATAACCTTAATAATATAATTTTATTTTAATTTTTGCCAAAACCAAACAAATTAATTACATTTACTATTAACAAGTTTAACATCAGGGCTGTCCTACGTTTTACGTGTCATTTTACGAGGTAATTCCAAAATCTCCATGCTGATTCTCATTTAAAAACTGTTCGGAAAGAAGAAACATTTCTATGAGGTTCCATGCTCACCTTCACACTAAACCCCTTCCCTTATTCCTTGACTCAGTCAAAGTATTTCCTAGTAATCCTCCAAAGACGTATGGAGCAAATATTTATCAAGTAAAATAATCATAAAAAAAACCAATAAATGGTAAGCATCGCCACCGTCAGACATCTTCTGTCAATAAAATGCACATATTACATAATATTATTATTCTGCCGTAGGGTACAGACTATAATACTGATTGTATATATATTTTGAAATTAAAAAAGAAGAAAATATTTACAAATATAAAAATATATGTAGTTACTAGTTAGCATACTTTCCAATTGTTATCAAAACTATTTCATTTGTTCGAAACTTCAACAAAATGCTAAAACATGCAAAATAGTATGTGTATGGAAAAAATAGTTTTATTTTTAGAACTTTTATGTAGTACATAGTTACATAGTACATAGTAGCCTCTTAGAAAAAATAATAAATAAATGTATAGTATTATTATTATAATTATTATTATTATTATTATTATTATTATTATAGTATTATTGTATGTATTGTATTATTTGACGATAATAATAGTAATAAAAAAAACATGTATATTAGACAACAACAGTAATTATAATTTAAAGTGCATAAAAATAGACAGTAATTGTCAATACTATTCTGTGTTATTGTTATGAAGTGTCATTTGACTTAGATTGTCAGACAAATAATCCATTAAATTTTGATTAAGGCGTTTATGGGAAGGCACATTTACATTAATATGTTTGATAAGGATATCAAGTTTCATCCAGGAAAGCTCTTTTAACAAATCTAAAGGTAAAAAACAAAACATATAAATTAGAAACCACAATATTAAATAAAACAAAATAAAATTAACAACAAATTAAACAATACCAGAAAAAATACCAGCATTTTTATGAATTTATACTGCTTTTTTTGTAATTAAAATGAATATAAAAATGTTATACATATTTTTTAATTACAATAATAAATTACAGTCATATATTTATTTTTTTAACTCAACATGATAATCAATATTTAATGTATTAAAATTTAATATTTTGTATATTTATCATTTAAAATTTAAATAACGACCATGAGTCAATAAGTTAGGAATCATATTTACCCTATTTTTAGTACAGAACAGAATTTTATTATAGTTAATAATTATATAATATTTTTACCTTAGTTGTAATATTTTATATTTTGTTACATATTAATAAGTTTCTTCAATTTCTTAGTAAATTGGTGCTAATTTAATTTTACATATTTGGGTGTGAACACATAATTTGTAAATATTAGATTTTTTCGTGTATTTATCAAAATTATATTATTATTTAACTTAATTTAACTATTGAACTATTGTTCACTATCACCGATCTATGATGAAAAATATTATCTTAATAGCTTTCATAAACCTATTTGCTGCTATCATATATTTCAATGAGAATAAGTACATGATATTTAAGTAAATATTTATATTTTGATTTTATTATTCCAATAAAATCCATTCTCTAATTTATTATTATTATTAAAATATATCAATAATTATTACCAAGTATGGATTGCTGTATATCTTGATCGTCTAAAAATATTATCACAGTTTTATATAGCTGAGCGACGCGAGCTTCATAACGTACCAAATAATTTTTAGGAAGAGGTTGGGTGTATGTTGCTTTGATCAGATTAATAGCTTTGAATCGTGTATTTCCTGGATTATCATTATTCAAACGAGCTAGTGCAACTAAATTTTTACATTTAATATTAGTGTTTTTAATTCACATGCATTTTAATCTTTTACTATACCTCTAGTGATATTTTGTATTGTGTCTGCATTTATTTTATCTACATTTTTGCCAGCACAAACTAAAGAATGTAAAGTATCTAATGCATATGCACGAGTCTTACAGTGGTTATCATCAGCAAGGGCCAAAAATATTGGAAAACTCTTGAAACAATTGAAATAGAAAGTATAGGTATAGGTATAAGTAATGGTAAAAATATATACTTACTAGATTTAACATTGTTTCATCAAAACAAGTAAACTTTTTAGTTATAATTTGTGCGCACAGGCATGAAGCTGCTCTTAAACTTTCCGCAGTTTTACCAGGTCTCCATGTTAGAATAGGAAATATAATACCTAGAACATTATCAAATAAAAAATATATATTATATACATAAGTACTATTTCCTACTTTTATTAATGAAATTTTACCAGAAAGTATTTGCCAAAGTTGTTTATCATTGAAAATATCTTTATCCACGCATGTATTTATATTGAACAACATTTTCATAAGAAATTTTGGATCCTTATCAAGATTGTATAACGTTTTTGTAAGAATCTGTCAATACACTTCATAGCAGCTTAAGATTATATGTTCTAAAAATAAATAACAAGTAATTTAAAATTGTAGCATTATTATTCATGTATATATTAATTACCAGCATTTACTGCAATTTTGTCAAGAACTTCTCTTCCTGGTGAATGCACTACCCATGAATCACAACTATCATTAAGTTCATTTAGCAATTTTTCACCATGTGTTTTAAAAAGTTGATCCTTTGTTTTTGGTTCACACATATTGATTAGCTTATTAAATATAACTGAAAACAAACATACATTAAATTTAAGAAATAAATCAAACACTTACATTTTAGAACTTAACAAGTACTATATAATAGTATAATAGTACATACTATTTTACTATTAACTACAGTATATTTTTAGTATTATTATTAAAATAAAAACAATTTTATCACTATAAGTAAAACTTAAATACCAATCCAGAAGAATCAGAAATGTAAATACTATTACTGATTACATATATTTAAATTATTTAAGATAAGATAGGTGAGATAAGTGGGTAAGTGCATGTCACTCTGCTATACAATAGGTTACAAATGGGTCACTGTTATGGATGGTGTTAAATTTGAATTCAATGATATAATTGTATACAACAAACGATTCTGAGCGTAGACGGTTTGTCAATTATCAGCCAAGGATATTTTATACTATTAATAATAATAATATGGTAGCTGGTAAGTATATTTAATATTATTTATACATAATAATATACTTTAGAAGTTTCAAGTAGCTATGAATAATATTTTTAAAATATATGTAAAATTTCATGTATCCACGGTAATTTGTTTTAGAGTTACACCAAAGACCAAAATTGATTTTGGGTAAAAACTAAAATTTTTCCTACATTTTTTTTTTGTTTTTCCCTGCCTTTTTGAAAACTATTGGGAATTTTAAATTTTGACTTCCTAAATGCACCAACTAGATTCACTTTCCCATCAAATAAGATACTGAAGTTGAAAATCGAAGCATTATTTCAACTACTTATCATGTACACAGACACAAAAAATAAAAAACATTACTGTAAAATCAATACATTCATTGCTCCGCTCAGAAACTAAAATCATAATAGGTATACTGAGTGAAGACACTCATTATTTCAAAAACTATTCATGTTGTTGAAAATATAGTTGTAAATATATATAGATAAAATTAACTCAAAAAAAATTATAACAATGAAATATATAATTTCTTTAGAGAAATATTGTTGACTTAAAATTAAGTAAATGTTTTTTTTTTTAAACATTAAGGGCCGTATTCATAGTCGATGCTTAAGAATAAGTATTGCTCATTATGGTAATAAAAAAAAAAAAAATTGTGGTAATAACTAAAAGCAATGCTTAAGGTAAGTCTCGACTAACCTTAATTTAATTAATACTTTTTCTTTTCTTAATCCAGTTTATGAATCTTATTTGAGTAAAAAGTTTAGCTTCAGGAATACTTATTCTTAAGCATCGACTATGAATACGGCTCTAATAGTTTTAAAAATGTTGTGTGTTATTAAAAGATTCACATAAAGGTATTAGTCAATTTGAATGAGTTATTGAAATATTCAGTTGTAACTAATTGTAACATAATAATATTTATGTGAATCACCAGGTACTTTTTCTTATTTTTAAAAATAATACTTACAGTTGTTGTCAAATTAATCCAAAGTTGTCCTTTGTACAGTGATGAAAATTTTAAACAACTCGTAAGACAATTCTTGACATTCTGATTCACAAGCATCAAATACATGTCCAATTACTTGAATTACTTGAAGCAAATAATTTTCGAATAGAGAATCACATACTTCACATATTTCTGGTTTTTCCAAAAGAGTAATAATAGATTTCATATGTGTTGATAATTCAATTGACTTGACATTTTTTAATAGTCCAGATAAAATTATCATATGACCTACATGTGGTTTAGTATCACTCATTGTAGGAATTAAAAATTTCAGATTAATACTTGGTGATATGAAATAACTCATAATTTCAGCACCTCTCCGAACCTAAATATTTATTTTCAATAATATTAATTAATTTATATATTATTATATAGTTCTCACATGATTTGCTGCAACATGATTTGGTTGACGACAACATTTAGTCATGACAGTCAGTAATTGATTTAAATGTTGAATAATAGAATTCTCAGCATTCAATGCAACCACACATAACAATTGACCCGCTTTAATACTAATATCTTCTTTCTATAGTTTTTGTAAAATAAGTTATCTATGTAATTATAATTCTTTACTATATAATTTAACTGTATGATTGAACACCACATAGTATTGAATAAATAAATAATAATAATTATGATATTAGTAAACAGATAGTATTTACCTCATCATCTAGTTCCCGTATTATAACTGGGAGTAAGTTCAACACTTCTCCAGCAACTAACGAACGGCAACCCAAATTTGGTCTTTTAACTGAAATATTATAAAATATTGATATTATTAGGTTATTTATTAAAACTTTTCATTAATTGATTTAAGTATATTTACAGTTTTATATGTAAAATACACTAACCATTAGGAGGATAGTGATCTAAATTTTCAGGTAAACAATCCAAAGTTTCCCTGAACTGTCCTATATTCTCAGTAATATACTGATTTCCAATTTCATCCCACTGACGTTCAGCTTCCTCACGGTTTGGTAGATGATCATCAACTTGACTAAAAAAAAAATGTTAAATAATATACACCGATAAGAAACATTAACTGTTTCAATAAATATCAACATTTTTGGAAATGTATGATAGAAAACTTACGCTGTCAAAATCAAAGGAATGAGTTTTGGAAAATATGAATATCTATCATGTAGGTTTAACATCCAATTGGATACAACAAGGTAGATAGCTAATCGCACGTGAACATCTTGATCAAAAAGTCTACTACTGATAGAAGTGCATACCTCTGGAACTTGTTCTCCATTACTGTACATAATGACATCATCTAAAACATACATCCATACAATTTATTATGTAGCATGTAGTATGTAAGCATATTTATACAAACTAAATTTAAAACGTGATCAATTTACCTAGTGAAATGATTGCTGTATAACTAACAGTACATTGATCATGATTTGTTGCTATTAAAAGGGGTTCAACAAGCAAATCAGCCACCGAATGAAAATAGAGTTTCGTAGCCATTGCTAGTTCTTTTGCACACAGATAACTGTCTATTATTACTGTAGGACACTTGTCTAATATGCTTTTGGTCGAAATGCTAATAATGTCGTGCAAACATGGAAAAATCAACTGCTCGTAATTTTTGATGATATCTCTCAACAACTGTACATAAAAAAGTCTCACTTCTTCTGACCTTTGAACCTTTCTCTCATAAACAAGTACTTGCCTGTGATACGCTTGTGTATGACAAAGACAATCGGTGCGATGTCTTCGACACACCCAGTGCACACCAGAGTCCTGACTAATTGTATGGTCGTTTCGCGACATGCATCGCATTCGTCATAAAAGCACGGGTACAAGAATGTTTTTACAGTCAGCAGTCAGCATAAAGTCTGGCGACACCTTAACCCTTAACTTGGCAAGCATTAAAATATTAGAATGAAAATTTTAAAGTAGATATTTCCAAACTAATTTAAGGTCGCTGAATTAAAAAATGTTGTCAAAAAAAATATTGGACTTGAAAGTTCAAAGTTATGAATTGTATCTTAAAAGATACATAGCCATAAACCAATACTAATATTCATGTATCTAAAAGGATACATACTTTTAAAATTGATATAAAATAAGCATTATTGCATATATTATTAGAAACTTTACATAAAAGTGATTAACTGAGTTGATTCTAGTAACACATTAAAATTTGATGAAATTAGCAGTTGAAGTCAACGAGTTTGATCGGCTTTAAATTTCCAAAAAATGATGACAAAAAACAATTATTACTTATTATCAATCCCAATCATCATAGAAACGTTATCGTAGTGTACTCACAATAGAGTAAGTGGTCTTGGCTGATTTTATATAACTTAATGTAATCCAACTTACCTGTGGATATATATTTATGGTATAAATGTATTAAAGAATTTAAACAAACCAATAGTCCAATGAACCCAGTTTTCCTACTCGATTCCAAGACTGGTACAAATTCATTTTTTTCTTTAATTTTTAAATTTTTAATATATTTTGTAAACATTTCAGTAAAATTAGTTATGAAATTAAAGTTTTCTTTACAAAGTGCCTTTTTTTCATTAATGGCGTTGTAAGACCGTGAATTTAAAATATCAAATATAGAATTAAATATTTCAATAAATTCTACTGTAGCATCTACTTCATCAAATTCTGGGATATTTAAATTGTACTTACAAAATTTTAGTGCATCTGCCACAGATTTACTCAACAATTGAGTGGCCAATTTTACTTTCATTTTTTGCTTGAGAAAACTAATGTGCTGTTTTCTCAATTTATTTGTAAGATGGCATCCTTCTTTTTCCTGCAATAAAAATAAACGTTCAACAAAATCAAATTTGATGAATTTATTTTCATGTTGCAATATTTGTTTTTCGCCAAAAGCATTTCTGACAAGCTTGATCATATGTGCAGGATCCATGAAAATAGGTATATCATCCTTTTCTTTATCTGCATATTCTACTGTAAAAGCTGTTTGCAAATTTGAAGCATCAACATTACAACCTAATAGCCGTGCCATGGTAACGGGCAAAGTGGCGGTTTTGGTGGTGAGGCAAGTGAGGCGGCGCCTCACTTAAAATATTTTAGTAATTAATACTCAAAATGTTTACTTTTTGGCTCACCGATAGGCGATAACACATATTTCGATACTACAATAATATTATGATACCAATAGGCAATAATGAATTTGCCTCTGCGTAAATAAATGTGGTCAGCCCGCATCCACGGCTGTCAAGTTCAAGACCTGTATATTATACTATAGTAAGTAAGTTGTAGCGATGACTTTATCTGTGATGTATATTGTACATAATATTATCAGGAAATTATTCTATGGGAAATCCAGAGACACCCCGAAACCCGTCAGTCATCAGTCGTCAACAAAACCTATTTTTACTTCGATGACGGGCGGCGTATATGTACTGACTATTATGGCGACTATTAATTATTAAATATTAATTAATAATTACGCTGCGTTTGCTCCGACTATAAAAAGGTTAGGTGTAGTACGTCCGTGCTCCGTGATATTGTTTAATAAAGCGTTCCTTTATACTAAAGTCTCCATCTTTTATTCGTTTGGGCTTTGGTATTCTCAATATTCTGTGCAATCACTGCAATCTACTTAATATTTATATACGGTATGTATTTTTAAATTATTTTGTTCCTGTCAATATAAAATGTGTTATTGGCAATATAATATATAATATAATTTGTAAAATATAATTATTAAATGCTTAATGCTTCTTGCTTTTAATTTCGTTAAATTGCTTATGGTATTCAGATGGTTAAAACCAGTAGAACGAAAACGCAGCATAGTGGTTCTAGTAATCGCAAGAAAGCGAAAAATAAAAAAATTGAAATTGCAAATGTTATGGCAAAAGTTCCTTGCATAAATTCTTATTTTAAGGCTAATAACGGCAATAACGTGTTGAACAGCCTAGAAAAGACGTCAAGTATGTTATACTTTTGATATTTACTTCCATTAATTTATGACATTAGTATTCAGTAATCCATAAATAATATCAAAATTCATATTTTATAACTCAAGGTTGGTGCTGATTGTTTATTATTTTACACCCTAAGTTAAATTACTTATATTATTAATATGGTATTTATTATTAAAGATTATACTTTAAAGTTATTATATATTACTTTTTTACTTTTTTACTTTTCTTTATTCATAGAAAATATTTATTGCTACATAGTAGGTATATAGTTTGCTTGACATAGGTATTGCAAATTTGCAGACTACTTTATATAACATTTTTTTATTCACCATTACCTAGTGAATATGTTATTTATATTGTTAATTTTTCATTAAGTTAATCCAAAATTTTGATAAAATATAGTATTTTCCATCTTACTATACTATTGTACAGTCAATGACATTTGTCAAAAATTTCGTTTTTTGTTTTAATTTATACTACTACTTAATTTTTTTATAGAAATCCTGAAGCTGCTGGGATGTACCCTTATTCTACGGGTGAAGGCTTAATGAGACTTGCCAGAAGAAATTCTCTGCCAGCAGTGCCTCCTTCATTGGCCGACTTTGCCAATTTGTTTGACTTGGGAAGTTTAACCCAATATTCCTGCTGTGGCGAGTTACTCTTCAAGGGTTGTGTGCGCGATGTCGATGGGCGAGGAGCCATGATATTTGTGTGCACAACCTTGATACAGTTGGTAGAAAGGAATAATGTGGAAGGAATGCACATAGACGCCACATTCAAAATAGTGCCATCAAATATGGGCAGACAAATGCTGAGCATTCATTGTATGATTGGGAACCATGTAAGTTATTTTAAGATCATATAACTTAATACTGAATTATTAATTTAATAATTTATAAGTTATAACCAAAATACACTAGCTAACTGCCAAGTTAAAACTATAGTTACAAATTTGACTGAATATTTTAGTTTAGTTTTATTACTATTTAATAATACTACAATTTAATATTTGATGGTTTTCTTTCCTGTCTAGTCCATACCAATTGTGTATTGCTTAATGGTATCGCTAGGTATATATATAATTAATGGTTACGTATTAATAAATATTTATGATTTATGAATATTTATCAAGTGACGTGCTACATTAAAAAAAAAAAAAAAATCATCAACTAAATTAAAAATAAAAAAAAAACTTTAAACTAAGGACATTGAAAAAAATCTTTTAGCAAGATTTTTTCATTATTATTATTGTTACTTATCTATTATAACTTTATTTTTAGCTTTTGGCTGAGACAGGTCGGAGTAGATGCTTTATCAGTCAATGGCCTACCAAGGCTGACGAATAATTGCGTAGAAAGTTTCCACAACAGTTTACGTATAAAGTTTAATGTGGTTCACCCAAATCTATGGACATTTTTAGGTAAGCATATTTTTTATGATTCCATAATAATTAATAAAGTATAGATAATATTAGGTAGGTTAATCCTTAAAATTAATTTTAGATCACCTTACTGAAATATATGCTGGGCATCAAGATTTAACCAGAGTATACCTTTACTTTATAATAGGTAAATATCTTATAAATTATTATTGCATCTATATTTTTGTTGATGTTTAGATTCTTGGTTAAAATTCATAACTCATATACAGGGCTTGTAAGTTCATGAATTTTGTATATCAATCTTACTAAGGTGTATTTAATGCTAGATGAAATAGAAATTAATTTCAATGGTTATACAATGGTACGATGATTAAGTATATGAAGTTTAATAGGTTTATTCACAGGTATTCATCGGTTTTTATATTTTTTAGGGCATATTACTCCTAATTTTAATATTACTGTATTAATATTATTATATTAACTTACATTTTTTTTCTATTGAAATAATACGGAAAAATTAAAATTTAATGAAAAACGCAATAATTTATATTTTTTCACTATATTAAATGGATGAGAATTGTTGCTATGTCAAATTATTAAAAATATGAATAGATAATTCTTGCTATTTCAAAAATTGCATTTGATGTCTTCATTTTTTAATCCACTTATTTTTAATGTATAGTTTTAGATTTTGAGTGCATATGAATGCATATTTCTGAACTTTTAAAGGATTATTTTGCCAGTTTTTAGCGCATAAGTGCATGCTTATTTAATAATTTTTAGGGCTTGAACTTACAAGCCCTGTTTATATGACAAAATGTAAATATCAATATTTAATTTAAGCTAGGTACAATTTAAAATTATAATAAAATTTGTGCCCAATAAGCCTATACTACATGCTTAACTATACAGAAATACAAATTGTTTTATTCCTTTTAACTATGTCTTTATTTTTGTAGAATTGTATCATACCATAGAACTTATATATTATACTCAGTACCTATAATACGGTCTATTGATAAATCGTATGTTCATTTACAGAAATCTTTGAGATCTGTAATGTACTTATTCTAGTTTTCTATTTCTGTTATAGTACGCATGCCAAATTAACTACACAGATTGCAGGTCCGCAAGTTTATGGACATTCTAATACATTCTCCCGCCAGTGCCCCTAGACACGGAGTTTTAGAAATTATATTTTTTTGGTACCTAATTAAATTACAATATGAATTATTATAAGTTACCTATGTATCTACTTGTAAAAAACTTGTCTACCGGGATTTAAATAACAAAATGTTCTTCTTGTACAATTCCCGATAATCCTAGAAGAAGACTGAAACGATCTTGGCCTAGAGATTTCCTTGCTTGATCTGTCGGGTGGTACTACTGAGTACCTTCCCTCTCTGTTATATCGACGCTATACTCCATCAAAAAAATTACTTATTGTATAAAATGTTTGTATAGATTGTAATTATTCTTTTAATAAAATAAAAAAAAAAATAATAAAATGTGATTTAGGTAACTTATTGGCTATTGATCTATTATAAAATAGAAACTTAACCTACCAATAATATCACTATATAAAATAATTTAAAGTGATAATTTGAAGGCGATTTCTTAAAACCCTAAAATATTTTTTTTAGTTTAAACCCATGTGTTGCAACCTGTTATAACATTAATGATGTAAAAATTATTAATTTATAACATATAAGTTTTAGAACTAATATTTACTTTTGAAATTATATTATACTAATAAATTGCGCACGCCAACATTTTTAGAAAAATGAAGTAGTAGGTATGTAGTCACATGTAAGCCATGGTTATGTTCGAATAAATGGAATGGACGGACAAAGAAATATTATTATGTCGATCTCCAATGACTATGTAATGATTTTACAGCTAACAACGTCTTCTTAGCTCTCACCAACTTAGCCACACCCCGTTGTCTGCATATCAATTCTAATAAACTTGTCAATTCGAAAGCGATCATTATTATATATTATTGACTTAATCCAATTACACGGTCTACATTTTATACTGGCAACTATAGTTGCTTGTAGGCTGTAGCCTAAATGGAATCTTTTTTCCTTTGGAACTGACGACAAGACGCCTTGAGATCTGCTTTTGCATTACTTACACGGTTTTAGATATAACTATAACGGATTCCTAGAGTTGTACATAAAACTGAAACCAAATACTGAACCACGTATATTGTTTAATAATAGAATTATGCCAAGATTATACTTTAAAGTTATTATATATTACTTTTTTACTTTTCTTTATTCATAGAAAATATTTATTGCTACATAGTAGGTATATAGTTTGCTTAACATATTGCAAATTTGCAAACTAATTTATACAACATTTTTTTATGCACTATTACCTAGTGAATATGTTATTTATATTGTTAATTTTTCATTAGGTTAATCCAAAATTTTGATAAAATATAGTATTTTCCATCTTACTATACTATTGTACAGGGAATGACATTTGTCATATTATTTGTTACATTTTTTAGTTAAATGTTTTCATTTATTTATTAAATTTAGAAGATATTGCCAATAGTCTTATTACTGCTAGTTCACAAACGGATGATTTAACTCTTAGTAACTCAAATGCATCATGTCGTCGGTAAATGATTAATTTTATTCTAATTATTTTATGCTGTTTTATCAATTATATAACAATAACTTCATATTTTATTTATTTCTTTAGGAAATATATTAATTTGCACATTTTAAATGATGATTATTTTGTTGATGATCCATTAATTATTGAACAAGCAATTTTTAACACTGACAATAGTTCAAATAATACATTATTAGAGTAAGTTACTATGAATACCATGTGATGACATGGCCTGTTGCTAATAATATATTATTTTTTAGTACAATGCTTGTTAGTTCTGTTAACATTGATGGTATTATCATATTGCATCCTAGATAGAATCAAACCTCTGGCCGAACAAGTGGTTGGGGACTATCAATGTGGATTCAGGCAAAATAGGTCAACGACAGATCAGATATTTATAATCAGGCAGTTATTCCAGAAAAGCTGGGAATATAATAAGGAACTCCATGTTATCTTCGTTGATTTTCAAAAGGCGTATGACAGTATAGATAGAACTAGCATAACCGAAATTCTGAAAAATTTCCATTTCCCAAGGAAAATAGTACAATTAGTTGAAGCTAGTATAAGACAAACTAAAGTCAAAGTCAAAGTAGGAAACTCGACATCGAGGATGGTGGAGGTAAGAACCGGACTTAGACAGGGGGATGCCTTGTCGCCAGTACTCTTTAATTTGGTATTAGAGATGGTGATCCGAGAAATAAATATTGGAAGAGATGAAGGAGTAAGAATGGATAGAACTTGCTTTAGTCTGCTCGCCTATGCAGACGATATAGTCTTGCTAGGAGAAGATGAACAAAAAGTGGTAGATTTATGCGGCAGGTTAATAGAATCAGCAAAGAAGGTAGGGCTACATCTCAACATAGAGAAAACGCAGTACATGAAAGTTAGTAGGGAACTAGATAACCTTCAGGAGACCGAAACCATAACAGTTGGCCAGTACGAGTTCAAAAAAGTAGAAGATTTCAAATACCTAGGTACGATTGTAACACAGAAGAATGAATGTCAAATTGAAATTCAACAAAGAATAAAAATGGGAAATAAATGCTTCCATGCACTAGGCAAACTACTAAGCTCGAAAGTCCTGTCAAAAGAGGTTAAAACTCAGCTGTATTTGACAATCATACGACCAATAGTCATGTATGGTTCACAATGTTGGACGTTACGAAAGACTGAGGAGGAAAGATTAGTAGTTTTTGAGAGGAAGGTACTTCGTAAAATATATGGACCTATATATGATCAAGAGCTTCAAGGATGGAGAAAAAGACATAATCAAGAACTGACGGAGCTTTTCAATAGACCAAATATTATAAACGAGATCAAACGGAGTAAGTTGGAATGGGCAGGACACGCAGTTAGGAAGCAAGATTCAATGGTTCAAAGGGTACTCCAAGAAAACCCAAAGAGAAAAAGACCACTGGGTAGACCAAGGCTACGCTGGGAAGATGGAATTAAAAAAGATTTCCTAAGTGCTGGTGGAGCGGAATATGATCACATGGACTGGAAGGAAGTAGCGGAGAATAGAGAAGAATGGGAAAGGATTTGTTCTATGGCAAGATGGTCTCAAAGGCCTTAATAAAAAGAAAGAAAGAACATTGATGTTAATGCTGATGAGCTATTTCCAACTGCAAACAATAGTCTAAGTATTGACCTTCCTCTTACTTCTGTTATTGGTGATAATATGGATGAACAAACTTCAACTATTCCCAAGTAAGTTAAAGTATTTTTTTTTTAGCTTCTTATTAGGTTATTGACCATCTATTTTTTTTTTTTATATATAGTAAAGATCCTGCTTTGTGAGATTTAAATGAAAATACTAGAGACTATATAACCACTCAATGGTTTTGATCAAAATTTAAAAGATACCAACTTTTCTTTGTCTAAAAGGTTATGTACAAAAGTAATTTGTGGCACAAAAAAATCATACTATAGAAGCTTCCACCAAAATTTTATCAAAACTAAACTTATAAACGGAAAAGAAGTAAATCGTAATTATATAGTATATTCTAATAGCACAAGGAAAACATATTGTGCACCGTGTCGACTATTCAATGATACCAATTCTGTCAACACTTTTGCCAATTTTGGATTTTGCAACTGGAAAAAATGTGAAGAAAAATTAAGACAGCACGAAAATTCAATTAACCATAAAAATTGTGTTATAAAAATGAAATATAGGGGAAATAAACTAGGACGTATTGATAGTCAACTTATTTTACAAGTCGAGACCGAAATTAAATACTGGAAAGAAGTTCTAACCAGAATAGTAGCTGTGGTGAAATCATTAAGTTGTAGAGGACTATCATTTAGAGGTCATAATGATAAATTTGGATCAACTCATAGTGGCAATTTCATCATGTGTTTGGAACTAATAGCAGAGTTTGATCCTTTTCTAGCTAATCATATTTCAAAATTTGGAAATAAGGGTAAAGGAAGTACTTCTTATCTATCTTTTTCTGTGTATGAAAAGTTTATAGAAATGATGGGTGAGAAAGTTAAAAACACTTTTATTAATGAAATAAATAACGCAAAGTATTTTTCAATTGTGGTTGATTCAACCCCTGATATTTCACACACGGACCAACGTGCATGCATATTTAGATATGTGAAAACTAATGGTGAACCTGTAGAGAGATTCTTACAATTTATTGCTAACTCTGGACACAAATCTGAAGATTTGGCAGATGCAATATTTATGGTGATTGGTGAAAATGAATTAGATATTAAGAATTGTCGAGGGCAGTCATATGACAATGCATCAAACATGTCAGGTGTGTATTCTAGACTTCAAGCTAGAATAAAAGGGGCATGTACTTATGCTATTTTTGTCCCATGTGCAGCACATTCATTAAACTTGGTAGGAGAGTACGCTGCTAATTGCTGTACAGTTGGTACTGAATTTTTCAATTTTCTTCAAGCTTTATACACATTTTTTTCTGCATCTACATATCGTTGGAAAATATTGAGTGACTACCTGACTAATTCCAAGAATAAAACAGTAAAAAGATTGTCTGATACTCGATGGGCAGCTAGACACGAAGCTTGTTCAAGTCTTTCTCAAAACTGGACAGAGCTTCTTAAAGCATTGAACAGTTTTGTTGAAAATCCAATGGAAAATTGTAAGACAAAATGTGAATCAACTAGATTAATAAAAAAAATGAATAGCTTGGAAATGTGTATTCTCGTGTCATTTTGGAATGATATTCTAGAGAGGTTTAACAGTACAAGCAAAAAATTACAGACTATTGAAATTGATCTGACAATTGTTATAAACCTATACACATCTTTAATTCATTATATAACAGATTTAAGAAATACTTTTTCACACTATGAAAAACTAGCTATGGAAAAATCTGAAATTAAAGAGTATAAAGTTGTCAGGAAGAAGAAAAGAAAAGTACCATACGATGAATCATGTCAAGGCAACACATCATTTGAAGCTAGAGAATCATTTAAAATAAACACATATTTTATCATAATAGATTCATTACTTTCAGAGTTAAGGAAGCGTAAAAACTGTTATGATGATATTAATACTATGTTCAGATTTTTTTCAAACATTATTGATTTACCAGTAACTGAAGTGAGAAGGAAAGCTACCAAATTACAGAGTCAGTATCCTGAAGATCTCGATGGATCATTTATAAATGAGTGTATTCATATTCATGGATACTTAAAAAGTTTTCCAGGAAATGTATCACCAAAATCTATTTTAGAGTTGTGCAAAATCATTGAAGATCACAATATAGCAGATGTCTACCCATATGTAGATATTGCTTTACGTATGTATTTATGCTGTCCGGTTTCTAATACTTCAGCTGAACGGTCATTTAGTGTTCTGAAAAGAGTGAAATCATACTTGAGATCTTCAATGAATGACAACCGTTTAAACAATTTGGCAATTTTAAATATAGAATGTGAGATAACTAAATCAATTAGTTATATTGAGGTCATTGACGATTTTGCTGCCCTAAAATCTCATCGTAAAATATAAATGTTAATGTTTCTTTTGTTTAATTAAATGTTTCAATTTATATTATGCTTCATATTATATAATGTTCAAAACTTCTATGTATGATTATGTTGTTATTTTTTAATGATCATAAAACAAAGGTAAATAAATATTAAAATGTTGGGGGCAACAAATTATATGTACCCAGGGCATCAAATCTCTAAATACGCCACTGGTACTATATAGATATCTGTACAATACAGCTGGCCAAAAACTCCGACATAAAAATAAAAAAGATTGTATAAACAAATTATGATAAATTTGACGTTTCTATTGCGAAAAGTCAGGAAGTAGTTGTTACACTACCTTCACAATTTTTTGATAGTTTACTATTAGATATATTTGATAGCTAGGTACCCAACAAAATACAAATGTTCACCTTATTAAAAGTCCAAGACCAGTGTTCAGTAAGTACAAACGTTTCAGTATAATATTATCATTAATCAATTAGGTATATATATTTAATATGAGTTCAACTGAAAGGTTTTCTGATAATAATTAAGAATTAGTGCATTAATGTCAAGTCTGACACTCAATATTTACAATTTAGCTGTCTTAATTTTTAAAGAATATTAAATTGGAAGGTATTATTAAATCATGCGAACTTGATGAAGAAAAGTGCACCGACAATACTAACGTAAATAGTGACTTAAATATGGTTATAATAGATATTCTAACAATAGCAAAGTATTTTAATTTTTAATCATTGGAATTTATGTTAAGATAATTTCAAATTTTTAAGCTCTGTATAAATGAACAAGTTAAGACAGCGCAATAAATTAAAATTCCATGTAGGTATACAATTTATGTACAGTAACTATGGACAATATATATCAACAATCGTAACTAGGTATTATAGAAACTAACAGATGTACGGACACAATATATAATATTTTGTACACAGGTGTAAGGGGGTATGCATATCCTGAGCACAGATTATTTCCTGGCTTACCAAAAATAAATAATAATCATAACAATATTTGGTTTAATCAAATTCCAATCTATTTCATTTTCCATAAAAACACAACTATCTAACATTTAACTATAAGCTATCAAATCATTGGTTAAATCAGACATCTTAAATTAAAGACCTAGGTATAATTTTCGATACAAAACTATTGTTTAACTTAATTGTTCCTGAAATTTAAAAAAAATCACTTTCTCTCTATGGTATGAACTATGATTAATAGAAACCGAAAACTGTGTACATTTTAATGACGCTACTACCTACTTTTAAAAACCTTTACACTTATTTTATTTGTACTCATCTAGAGTATTTTTTTGGGAAACAGGGGTGTTAACTCATTACAAACAAGTTGAAAACGTATAAATTTAAGTTTTCCTTTTTATTTCATATAAATACAATATTTATTTAGACTGCCTCACTCTGGTTACAATCATATTGTTTACATATTAAATGTACAAACATTAAAAGACAGAAGAAGGTATTCTTATACCATATTTCCAGTTAAATTGTTAAAAAAGAGATTGAGGATCATACTTAGCCTCATATCATTTAAAATAAACCATCATAATTATAATATAAACTACAAACAATTTATTCTTATTCCAAAACACTCAAAAATATATATGGCACACTAGGTACCTTATAATTGATATTTTATTATCAGCGGTGAATATCTCAAGAATTACCTATTGTGAATTATATAATATTTGTAATTTAATATCATAATTTATAATATTTTAACTAAATAAGTTGATTATAAAATATATATATAAATGTTTTCTTCCTTATTATTAACTAATATCAAGTTACATAGTTATACTATTGATTCATATTATTGATTATTATATTATTATTATATATAACTATTTTAATGTGTATTTGTATATTTGAAACCATACTTTTAACTATTAGCATTGTTTACTGTTAATTCGGCTACCGGCTGTTATTATATTAATGAATTTAAGTAAGTACAGTAAAATAGGTAGATATACAATTGTATTCACTTTTATGCTTAACTCTGTAACAATATATACTGTAGATTGTAAACTCTGTTATTTGCCTGAAATAAAATTAACAAGCTTCATAAATTGATAATTTTAAACTAATTGAAATCAAAATTACAAACAATTAATAATGAATATTATCAATAAATTATGAATTGGTATAATGAATCATTTAGCAATTTACATCTAGATTTCTGCTTAGCTGGTGATATAGATGAAAATAGCTTCTTTTTAATAGAAATAGTTTTTGTGTTGGGTGTTTTGAAGTCAGATGAAATTATAAATGGTGACAGTGTCATGCTCAGCATTTGATCTATTTGATAATAATGATCTTTAGAAAGCTTAAAATTACTTTAATATTTAAATTAAATCATAGTGTAAACATTATATTTACCATGCAGAGGACTATCATTAATAGGTACTTATGTTGTCAACATCTATCACTTTAGACTTTATATAGGACCATAGGCGTGCGCACGGGGCGAGCCGGTCAAGCCAAGGCTCGACCTGAAACTTTTTAGGGGCATAGTAAAATGTGCGTATATATTTAAATATTTTATTATAATGCTTATATTATAATAATATGTTCGTGGAGATCATGACAATTTTGTTTGTCGTGAAATTATAAAAAAATCAAAAATATTTGTGTGTACCTACCTAACCTAACCAATTCATACATTTAATTAATCTAAAAAAAAACATTATACCTTTATAGGTACAAATACAATAACTATAGTACTATAGACATCGATAGGTTAATATATTATCAACATGTATGTTGGTGTGTTAAAAAAAAAATTAGGGGCGCAGTCCGAATATTAGGGCACTATAATTGTCTAGGCTCGACCAGAAATTTAAGTCTGCGCACGCCTATGTATAGGACTTTTGGAATCACCTGAAAATATAATTTAATTCATGAATTAAACAATAAAAACAATAATTATAAAAATAAGTTAATAATTTTATTATACTTAAAACTATATTTATAGTATTTAAATTGAATTACACTTTTTATAGAATTTACTATACCTAGTTTTAGTCAAATTTACTAATCATTTGTTTTTAGAATAGCTAAGAAAATATTGTATATTTTTTCCAACTCTATTACATAGTTTAATTTAAACTAGGTATTAATATTTTTAGGGGAAACCAAGTCAGTAGGAAAAAGAGAGTACAAGGACCCGTAAATATAAGCAATTTACATTTTTGGAAAAACCAGATTCATAAAGAATAAGGAATAAAATATTTATTCTTAAAGACATGTTTTTTTTACTCATTATACCTAAGTAGGTAGTAGGTACATAATATTTTTGTATTACAATTACATGTATTTATGAAGGTATATAAGACAAACAATTTGATAGGAAACAATGAACAGTGGGATGCACCAGAAAAACTTAACAACAATTTAACCTATAATCTATATACTTGGAAAATATTGTGTTCTTCAAAATATTTATTTTCATAAATCATACAAATAATAAATGGTAGGTATATTGTCGGTTTGAACAAATATAGATAGTATTATTCCAAAAATTGGTATAATATATTTGGATAATCACTGAAACTATTTAGAACAGACATATTAATATTACTATAGTAAGTGATTCCTTTAAAATCTACCCATCAAACAAATATTTCATTTTCTAAAAATTCAAAAGGAGAACATAAAAAGGGGCTCTGCTGTACAGTAGGTTACAAGTGGGTCACTGTATAATGGATAGTATTAAATTTGAATACAATATGAATACCATATGATATAATATCAATTTATTATCATTGTATAAGAAAAACAATTCTGAGCGGAGACAGTATGTCAGTCTAGGTATAAAGCATATTATATACTTATCTATTTTATTAAAAAAAATTGACCTATTATAGGTACCTACCTATAATAAATTCCAAATTAATCATATCACAATATCCATTAGGTACTTATAACGCGTTATACATCAACAACAATAAAACTTTAGATTTAAAAAGAAAAATTTTTACGAATTCTTAACTCAAAATAATTTGCTAATTTTCGTGATTTTTCCAAATTTTGTCAATTTTTGAACTTTAAATGCTTATAAAAAAAACTGTGACTAAGGATTTTTAATATTTTTCAAATGCCATTGTAACAATATAGTAGGAGCATTGTATTACATTTTCAAGCTTTTTTAACAAACAAATAACATTTTATTGATATTTTTAGAAAAAAAACTAAAAAAGAATGGAAAGTGAAAATGTGCCTAAACAGTTCAAAATAAATCAAAACATTTTGAAAATGTTATGGTGACATGGTGTATAGAAAATGCTAATAAAAACTTCAGTCAAAATTTCATGTACCTACGGTCATTTGTTTAAGAGTTGCACCAAAAACCAAAATCGATTTTTTCGAAAACAGATTTTAGTGTAAAAATTCCCGTTTTTCCTTAATTTTTATTTTGTTTTTCACGCTGGTTTTGAAAACTACTGGGAAATTTTGACCCCCCAAGTACCAACTAGATTCACTTTCCTATCAGAAAAGCTACTGTTGAAAAAAATCCAATCACTTTTACTGTCATAAAACGTGATGACAGACACACAAAAAAAAAAAATTAATAAATAAAAAAAAAAACACATCATTGTAAAATCAATACAATCATCGTTCCACTCAGAATCTAAAATCTAACTTTACTATACTCGAGCAGTGCTGTTTCCGAAAGAGTTATCTTACGACTAAACTGTCCAAACTGGATCCAAAGTTGATTGAACAACAAAAAAAAAATTGTTTTCAAAATTATTATCGGTGTAAAACTCAAGTCGGAATGTTGGAACTCGCTTAGGTCTATGATTTACAACATTTCGCCATGTCATAAATTTGTTGTTAGGCATAATGTGAGTGCGAGTGCGCAACGCTTATCTAGCTCGCCGTACGTCACTCACACTAATGATCATTTACTACACTCGAACATGCACGCCACGCACGCACGTACTATACAAATTGTCTAAAAATTGCCTGTACTCAACTCCTTAAAAACGGTCGG